CCCTTCCCCTCCCCTGCGCAGGAAGGAGATCCTTTGCTGCAACGCACAACAACCAACAGCAGTCAGCGAATCAACAGCCAACAACCAACAACTAACAATCAACAACTAACAACCAACATTTAGCGGATCAACAGCCAACAACCAACAACTAACAATCAACAACTAACAACCAACATTTAGCGGATCAACAGCCAGTCGAGGGGTCAACGGTCAGTCAATCAACCAATCAATCAACTACTAAATTGGGGGGTTTGCGTCAAATTTTGTTCAAGAAACACAGGGCGAAATAAAACAAAAAAAGAGAAACAAAAAAGAAGGAAACGGCAACAACAAAGAAACAGGAAGAAAAGAGAAACAACAAGAAGGAAACAACAACAACAAAGAAATAGGAAGAAAAAGGACAAAATAACAAAAGAGGAAGAAGAATAGTGGTCGATTCTTTGGGAAGAATCAGTCGGATAGTAAAAGAGTGCGGGTCATGAGGGACAGTTACGGATCCAAGCCAACAATGGAGTCACGCGGGAGCGACGGGCCATGCGTGACGGAAAGGCGCGTGCAAGCGAAGGGGCGGGCTCCGGCCTGCGCTGCCGACCGCGGCCCTCGAAGGCTCCTGCCCCTGTTTCTGCTCGCCGTTGTGGGGTTGCTTCTTCTCTCCACGATGATCCCTGTGGGACACGCCATTCCGTTTCGCCTGCGTGGCGGCAGGATCAGCAAGCCGGTCACCGTGGGTCGGGCCGTGGACAGCGTCCTGCTGGACGGCGTGGAGATCACGGAGGGGGCGCAGGTGGTGTTCGACGTGGCGGCGATGCTCCCAGGACCGCTGCGCATTGACCTGAAGGACTGCGTGTGTCGGGAGGGATCGCAGGTCTACGTGCGGGGCTACCGCGGCGAGCCGGCGAGCGACCAGAGTCTTGTGGTGAGCGTGACCGGGCTGACGGGGGAGTTCTGTTCACTGGTGTTTGCGTACAGCCTGCCGGAGCACACAAATGTGACTGTCCGCGACTCCACGATTGCGACGACCGGCCAGGTGAACTACGCCCCAATCGGAGGGCTGAAGGACATGGGGGCGGCGCCGCTTGTGCTACACGCGACATCGCTCTTCTATTCGAGGCTTGAGGTGAGCAACACGGTGCTGCGGTCCTCTGCCCCCGCGGGCGGGGCGGCGGTGTACGTTGCCGGCGGCGCGCACCTGAGTTCGAGCATGATTCTGCTTGACGGCGTCTCTCTGGAGGCGTCGGGCGGCCCTGCGGCGCACGCGATGTACGTGGCCCCCACGCTGGGGCTCAAGTTGGCGTACCAGTCCGTGTTTTCCGTGACGAACGCGTCGGTCACGAGCAGCGGCGGCGGCCTTGCACTTGGGAACCATCTCACCGTGTCTCACTCGGTGCTGCGCCTCGTCGGGGTTGACGCGCGTCTGGAGACCCCCGTGTTGACGGCCGGCGGAGGGGCGATTGAGGAGGGCGGCTGGCTGGAGCTGCACCGGGTGTGGGCCGCGCAGCCTGGCGCCTCCGTGGCGGCCCTCTCCGCGCTGACGGTGGGCGGCGGCGGGGCGGTGTCCGTTGCCCGCTGCGCCGTGGCCGGCAAAACGCTTGTCTCCGGCCCGCAGATGCGCGGCGACGGCGCCGTCTCCGTGCAGTGCAACCGCGTCGGCGACACGATGCTGCACACCGCCGCCGACTACGCCACGCACGGCCTCGCCTCCGTGGAGATTGTGCCGTGCGAAGGCTGTGCGGCGGCCCTGAACTGCCTTCCGTCGCTGACGTCTTCCGTCGCGGGCTGTGCCTGCACGTGCGCTGCCGGCGGCCACGGTGCCGCGTGTCTGCCGGCGGAGGTCCCGAAGGCGCTTGGGCCACGACCGCCGCTTGCTGTGGCCCCCGCCGAGGTGCCGTGCGTGCATGGCGGCACAGTAAGTGCGTTGCCGGCCCCCACCTCCGGCGTCTCCGGGCTCTGCTTTGTGGACGTGCACTTCACCTCCCCGCTCGCCATTGACCTGGGCGAGTTCAGGCCGACGACGCAGACGCTCAACATCACGCTGCTGCGGTGCAGGCTCTCGGGACTGCGGCTCACGGGGAACAGCGAGTACGCCGTGCACATGAGCGTGACGGCCTCCACGGTGGACGATGGCAGTGTCGTGTTTGACGGCGCCTTTGGCGCGGGGTCGCAGCTGCGGCTGGCGGACAGCGTGGTGG